GGTCCCAGTGGGACCTTCGGTGGACCTCCCTATCAGGGCCCCGAAACGTTGTACTGGGTGTGCGGGGCGCATGTGGACTTTGGCAGTGGGGCCTTCGGTGGAGCTCTCTGTGGGGCTATGGATCGGTGGGGCTCCCAATGGGGCCACGAAGCACTGTACTGGGTGTGCGGGGCGCGGGCGGTCCCATTGGGACCTTCGGTGGGGTTCCCGATGGGACCACGAAACGCTGTGCTGGGTGCGGGACGCATGAGGGTGGTCCCACTGGAACCTTCCGTGGGGCTCCCTAAAGGGGCCACGAAGCGTCGCAGTGGGTAGGGGCGACGCATGCGGACGGTCCCACTGGGACCTTCGGTGGGGCTCCCTAAAGGAGTAACGAAACGCTGTACCGGGCGTGCGGGACGCATGCGGGCGGTCTCACTGGGACCTTCGGTGGGGCTCCCTATGGAGCCACGAAGCGCTGTACTGGGTGCGCGGGACGCACGCGGACGGTCCCACTGAGACCGTCGGTTGAGCTCCCTATGAGGCCACGAAGCGCTGTACTGGGTGGTGCGTGACGCATGCGGGCGATCCCACTGGGGCCGTGGGGCCACGAAACGCTGTGCTGGGTGGTGCGTGAGGCACGCGGGCGGTGCCATTGGGGCCGTCTGTGGAATTCCCTATGGGCCACGAAACTCTGTAGTGGGTGGTGCGTGGCGCATGCGGGCGGTCCCACTGGGATCCTCGGTGGGGTTCCCTACAGAAGCTGTACTGGGTGTGCGGGACGCATGCGGGCGGTGCCACTGGGACCTTCGGTGGGGCCCCCTTACGGGGCCACGAAACGCTGCACTGGGTGGTGCGGGACGCATGCGGGCGGTCCCACTGGGGCCGTCGGTGGAGCTCCCTATGGGGCCACGAAGCGCTCGCTGTACTGGGTGGTGCGTGACGCACGCGGGCTGTCCCATTGGGGTTTTCGGTGGAGCTCCCTATAGGGCCACAAAACGTGAAGGGTGTACTGAAACGGATGATGTTCGTGATGCTGATGCTGCTGATGATGACGGGAGGAGGGAGGAGGGAGAGGAGGAGACGAGTGACGCGGGGCGCTTTCTCTTCAAAACGAGGATCCAACACCACGGGATGGATGGAAAAAATAAGAGGAGGGGGAGGGAAATGACCTGCGTATCCGCCAACGCGCCCCCTGGCACGTTGAGGCGAAGTGGAATGCCACGTGCTGTTTGGTTGGGCGTCTGCATTCTAAGAAGGGGCCGCCCCCTCTACCCGCAGACCCCGTGCATCCCCCCTACTCTGGAGGCCCCGATCCCTCCGACAATAATCCTGGCGAAGGACCCAACCATATGCAGGGGTTAGTAACGCAATTGTTGGTGTCGTTTTCGGTGGAGCTCCTTATGGGGCCACGAAACGTATGAGACGTGTGCCCAAAATGGGCGCGGTGGCGTCATGCGAGCGCAGCCACTGGGGCCTTCGGTGGAGCTCCCTATGGGGCCACGAAACGTGTGAGGGGTGTGCCAACATGGGCGCGGTGGTGCCTTGCGAGCGCAGCCTTGGGGCCTTCGGTGGCACGAAACGTGCGGGGGCGTGCCGAAATACTGAGGCCTTCGGTGGAGCTCCTTATGGGGCCACGAAACGTGCGAGGTGTGTGCCGAGTGCGGTGCGGTGGTGTGATGCGAACGCAGCCACTGGTGCCTTCGGTGGAGCTCCCCATGGGGCAACGAAGCGTGTGAGGGGCGTGCCCACATGGGCGCGGTGGTGCCATGCAAACGCAGCCATTGGGGCCGGCCGAACGTATGAGGGGTGTACCGAAATCGGTGCGGTGGTGTCATACGAGCGCAGCCACTGGTGCCTTCGGTGGAACTCCCTGCGGGGCCACGAAACGTGTCAGGGGCGTGCCGACATGAGCGCGGTGGTGCCATGCGAACGCAGCCATTGGGGCCGTCGGTTGAACTCCCAATGGGGCACCGAAACGTGCGAGGGGTGTGCCGAATGTGTGCGGCGGTGCCATTCGAACGCTGCCATTGGGGCCTTCGGTGGAGCTCCCTATGAGGCCACGAAACGTATGAGGTGTGTGCCGAGTTCGGTGCGGTGGTGTCATGCGAGCGCAGCCACTGGGGCCGTCGGTGAAGCTCCCTATGGGACCACAAAACGTGTGACGGTGCGCCAGCATGAGTGCGGCGGTGTCATGCGAGCGCAGCCTCTGGGGCCTTGGGTTTAAAATCCCCATGGGGCCACGAAGCGTGTGAGGGGCGTGCCAACGTGGGCGCGGTGGTGCAGCCACTGGGGCCCTTCGGTGGAGCTCCCGATGGGGCCACGAAACGTGTGCGGGGTGTGCCGACATGAGTGCCGCGGTGCCTTGCGAGCGCAGCCATTGGGGCCTTCGGTGGAGCTCCTTGTGGGGCCACCAAACGTGTGGGGGGGGGGGGGGGCGTGCCGAAATTGGCGCGGTGGTGTCATGCGAGCGCAGCCACTGGGGCCTCCGGTGGAGCTCCCCATGGAGCCACGAAACGTGTGAGGGATGTGCCGACATTGGTGCGGTGGTGTCTTGCGAGCGCAACCACTGGGGCGTTCGGCGGAGCTCCACATGGGGCCAAGAACGTGTGAGGGGTGTACCGAAATGGACGCGGTGGTGTCATGCGAGCGCAGCCACTGGGGCGTTTGGTGGAGTTCCCGGTGGGGCAACGAAACGTGTGAGAGGTGTGCCGAAATTGGTGCGGTGGTGTCATGCGAGCGCAACCACTGGGGCCTTCGGTTGAACTCAATATGGGGCCACGAAACGTGCAAGTGGTGTGCCGCATTTGTGCGGTGGTGTCATGCGAACGCAGCCACTGGGGCCTTCGGTGGAGGTCCCCATGGGGCCACGAAACGTGTGAGGGGTGTGCCGAAATGGGCGCGGTGGTGTCATGCGAGCGCAGCCACTGGGGCCTTCGGTGGAGCTCCCCATGGCGCCACGAAACTTGTGAGAGGTGTGCCGAAACAAAGAGATGAGGAGGCGAGGAGGGGGAGGAGGGAGGAAGGGAAGAGGAAGGAGAAGGAGGAGGAGGAGGAGTGAGACGCGGGGCGCTGTCTCTTCAAAACGAGGACCCAACACCACAGGATGGTTGGGAAAAATGTTGATCCGCGCTCCCAAAGCAACGATCCCTCGTAAAAGACTATGTGTCCGCGTCCCTAGCCACCAAGACGACAAAAGCAAACAAGAAAGGTAACCAAGATGGCCCAAGATGCCTCGCACACGCCCCAAAATGGCACCAAGGCGACCCAACATTGCTTCAAGACGGCCCAAGATACCTCCGAAAGAACCCAAAAGGGCCGCAAGAGGACACCCAACAGGGTCCAAAGAAGCCAAACTTTCTGTTGGGTGTTTGGGCGGTTTTCGCAGTTTCGCCGTTCTGGGCTTCCGGCAACCCAAGACCGCCCAAGAAGCCTCCAAGATGCCCCCAGACGGCCCAAGAGGCCCCAAAGAGGGTCCCATGATGGCCCACGAGGACCCCACGATGGCCCAAGAGGCATCCAAAACGGTCCCAAGACGGCCCAAGAGGGCCTCCCGTGGGACCCAAGACTGCCTTAGGAGGCCCTTCGACCCCCAAGGCGGCACCGAGCCAGGTCCACGACGGCCCCCAGATTCCCACCATACGGCCAAGAGGGCCCCAAGACGGCCACAAGAGAGCCCCAAGACGGCGCAAGAGCGTCTCAAGACGGCCCGAGAGGGCCTCAAGAGACTGAGGAGGAGAAGGGACTGAACGTATTCGGCTTTTTGGGGACCCTGGCGGCGTCCAGGGACCTCCGTGGGCGCCTCTTGGGGACGCCCAGAAGCCTCTGGGGACCTCTGGGCGCCTCCAGAGAGCGGTCTGGGCAGTGCCCGTTCGCCCAGGGCACGCAGCGATACCATCCTCATCGTCATGAGCAGCAGCATGGTCCTCGCCACTGCTATCATCCTCGTCCTCGTCGGAGCCCTCGCAGTCGGCATCGTCGTCATCATCATCATCATCATCATCATCATCATCAGCAGCAGCATCATCATCATCATCATCATCATCATCATCATCATCATCATCATCATCATCATCATCATCATCATCATCATCATCATCATCATCATCATCATCATCATCATCATCATCATCATCATCATCAGCATCATCATCAGCATCATCATCATCATCATCATCATCATCATCAGCAGCAGCAGCAGCAGCAGCAGCATCATCATCATCATCATCATCATCATCATCATCATCAGCATCATCACCATAACCATCATCATCATAATCATTAGCATCATCATCACCATCATCATCATCATCAGCATCATCATCATCACCATAACCATCATCATCATCAGCATCATCACCATCACCATCATCATCATCATCATCATCATCATCATTATCATCATCGTCATCATCATCATAATCATAATTATCAACATCATCATCAGCATCATCAGCATCATCATTGCCATCATCATCACCAGCATCATCACCATAATCATCATCATCTTCATCATCAGCAGCAGGACCAGCAGCAGCTGCAACATCGTCATCGCCATCGTCATCGTCATCAATATCAGAAGTATCATCAGTCGTGGCATCATCATCAAGATGATCAGCATCAGCACCAGGATCAGCATCTGCATAACCATCGTCATCGCCGTCGTTACATGATCACCAGCAACCATCCATCATCGTAATCATCAACTCCATTATCATAAGCATAATCATCATAATCATCAACATTACGAACATCAGAAAATCGCCACCGTCATCGCCATCGTCACCAACACCCTCATCATCATCGACACTCACATCCACAACCACAACATCGCCGTCATCATCAGCATCACTGTCATCATCACCACCACCACCATCATCAGCATCATCATCAGCCTCCGCCATCTCGCAGCGGGAAAGTCTGCCTGCGAGAAGAGCTCCCACGGAGACACATTGTGCACGAGGGGTCCCACTGAAAAGCCTTCAAGCCCGAGCAGGACCAGAGGGCAAGATGTATTCTTATCGCGGGAAGTGCAGGCAGCAGTATGTATCTCAAGCGGTGTGCAACAACGACTATGCGGGCGTTGCTCAAACAACTCACCGAATTCTGAAGCGAAGCGACTCCACTCACCTCGCGGAACGAAAGATGTTGAATTATGCTGCTTGCTTTTCTAAGAAAAGATAAAGAAAACTATACAGAGTTGCGGGTGGGAGCCACACACGCTACGGACCAGGCAAAGGCAAGACGCGCGCACTAATCGCCTCTGCCATCTCGCAGCGGGGAACTCTGCCTGCGAGAGAAGCTCCCACGGAGACACATTGTGCACAAGGGGCCCCACTGAAACGCCGTCAAGCCCGAGAAGGACCAGAGGGCAATCTTTGTCGGACAGTGCAGGCAGCAGTATTTATCTCAAGCAGTGCGCACCAACGTCTATGTAGGCGTTGCTCAAACAACTCAAAGAATTCAGATGCGAAGCGACTCCACTCACCTCGTGCAAACTGATCGATATTGAACGAGAAGGGGTGACGACGGGACTTTCTCCCCCGATGCGCATGTACACCACGGTTGACCAGGCAGCTCTCCAAGCTGTGATAACCACCAGCAAAAGCGTTACCGACGCCCTGGGGAAAACCGCCCTGGATACTCCTCAGCGAACCGGGCTTTAAAACTCCATGTTTGTCTTTGCCCGTTAAAGACACCTGTGTTTTGTTACTCCTGAAGCACCTCCATCTGCAAAATTTACACCTGCGCCCCAGCGACTCAGCCGGCAAAAAGCTAGTTTAAAAGGGCCCCGAGACACACACACACACACACACACACACACATCAATACACATAAATAAAGATATGCCCCATATTTCTCCATATTTGGAGGGTTTTCGTCTCCCCCCCCACTTCCCATATTTTGCCATATTTTCTGTGAAATCGACGATTCATTGTGTCTGTGTGTTTTTGTTCCCTCCTGACAGCTACAAGTCTAGTTGTCCTCATCCACGGCGCTTCCCACTAACAGAAATGTGTTGGGATCTCCCGGGTAGTTCGCCGTCGTCGCAATGTAAAAATTTGAAGCGCAACAGAAAGAGACGAGATTCAGCGGCAAAAGGAAACATGTGCAAAACTGCCACCAACGCAATACTCACTGCCGTCTTCTTCGGTTCGTTGCCCAAGTCAATTTCCCATCTCTCACTTTCATTGCGCAGCACGGGGGGGGGCAGGAATGCGCATATAACATCGAAGAGGCCGTGGAAACGTGTGGCCTTGTTCTCGCGCTGACCCAGGAGATGGAATGAGCCCCGAAGTGGACACCCAAAACAAAACCTGACAGAATCCATCCAAGAATATATTCCCAGGGATTTCTTGCACACATGCACGCATTATGCCTCTCGCTGAAACGGACGTCGACGGCGATGGCCGAGCACTCTAGACGAGCCATCTCCTTCAACGCCCTCGCGGCCCCCACAAAGGTCCAGGCAGAATGTTTGCGAAGGCGAAGGTTTGCAGGGGCTCGCAGAAGCGCGGCCACATTCTGCTGAGTCCTCAACACAGAATCCAAACACCGTGCGACGCAATCCCTCCTCTGCAAAGAAAACCGATTCGGGCGCTCGTCGATTCTGCCGCCCTTCTGACATCTCCTCATGCTGCTGTGGCACGCCCGAGGCCCCCTTGCAGCCTGCACGCTTTCGGAGGTGCTTCGGGAGGCAGCGATACGCACGACCCCAGCTTACGACGCGTCGGACTGGCTGTTTGTGTGCTCGCCGCCTTCGACCCAGTCAATGCGGGGCCATACTTGTTCGGGCCGCTCATCGGAGGAACCCAGACTGCCGCCATGGGCGAGTTGGCAGCGCTGGAACTCGCTATTCGGTGTTCCACTGGGTCCATGATCTTGGTCACAGACCGCGAGGAGGTCCGTCGTGGATGGTGGGTGAGATTGTACGAGAAGCCGTCTGGACAGCTGCCTGGACTCTGGCGCCAGATAGGACGACACCTTCAGCATCGGCCAGCCACGGAGATCGCCATCCTGCTGACCCCGCCCCGCCTCGAGGCCGAAGAGGCGGTGCGCCGTCAGCATCTGAGCTGGCTGGTGCGAAGACATGAGGTGGAGAGGCACCAGGCAGGCCTCCCGCTTCGGGCGGCGCGCTCGCCGCTCCGCCTGGGCGCAGGGGTGCCTGGGAGGAGGAGGAGGAGGAGGAGGAGGAGGAGGAGGAGGAGGAGGAGGAAGGAGGAGGAGGAGGGAGGAGGGGGGGGAGGAGGAGGAGGAGGAGGAGGACAGGGAGGAGGAGGAGGAGGAGGAGGAGGAGGAGGAGGAGGACCACCGTCTGCCAGAGGTGGAGGTGCACCGCGTGGCCGCCACCGAACACAAGGCGTTGCTGGCGCGGAGGCGGCTGCCGCGGTCGGCGCCGTGCTGCGCCCAGCCGGAGCGGGCCCAGGCCGCGGAGGCGGCGCAGGAGCGACGGGCGGCGCGGCATGCGCCCCTGGGGGGCGAGGCGCCCTCGGCCGTTCCTGCTCTTCCCCCCCCCTCCCCCTCCTCCTGCCCCCTCGGTGGTGGCACGCTTCGCGACGGCCCACGCTCTGGACGACGAGGGGAGGAGTCGTCTGAGGTGTAAGGGGTCTGCCAGCAAGGCTTCTCGAGTGGAATGATTAAAAAGTGAGTGCGCCCCTCTCGTAGCTGTAGATGGTAGGGTGTTTCGGGTCCGTCGGGGGTGCAATACTCATATCGCTGGAGGTTGGGCCCACCCCTCTCACGCCCTAATGCACCATCATAGTCTTAGCATATGGTTATGCAGTGTTTGCGGCTACTTCGGCCAGACCCAGCTCAGGGGTCTCGGTAGTCCGTGCAGTCTTCCCAGTTCTGAGGCGCGTCGTGAATATCTCGATCGGATAGGTCGCGACCTGTTCCCCGAAGTCAAATTGAGCCTCGAGCAAGGTTTCGAGTAGAGAGCTCAATGTTCGCTACGCGAAGGCTGTAATCCTTGGCATCCCCATGGGTAGCTCCACCGAAGGCACCAGTAGCGCAGCCCGCATGCGTCACCCACACCCATGTCGGCACAGCCCTCACACGCGTCGTGGCCCCATAGGGAGCTCCACCGATGGCACCAGTGGCGCAACCCGCATGCGCCCTCACACGCTTCGTGGCCCCAGTGCCACCGCCCGCATGCGTCACCCACACTCATTTCGGCACACTCCTCACACGCTTCGTGGCCTCATAGGGAGCTCCACCGAAGGCCCCAGTGCCACCGCCCGCATGCGTCACCCACACCGATGTCGGCACACCCCTCACACGCTCCGTGGCCCCATAGAAAGCTCCATCGAAGGCACCATTGGCGCAGCCCGCGTGCGCCACCCACACCCGCGTCGGCACACCCAACACACGATTCTTGACCCCCTAAGGAGCTCCACCGAAGACATCAGTGCCACCGCCCGCATACGTCACCCACACCCATATCGTCACACCCCGCACACGCTTCAAGCAAGCAAGCAAATTCTGAGTACGAAACGCACATGAGCACATAGCCACTAATACGTCGCATCGCAATACTTGTTGACTGCGACACGCCACGCCGTGGCCGAAGAAATGGTGTCCTGCCAAAGCGCTGGAAGGGCCTCCACACCACCAGCTGCTTCGCAGGCGTGCCTGTAAACTTCCTGGGACCACGTTGGTCGTGGTCGCCCCCTTTTTCTCTGGGTGAGAGGGGGGAGGAGGAGGGAGGAAAAGGGCTGGGGGCCTGCGCAACGCTCAGCGTCGTCGCCTGGCTTTCTAGCGATATGACCTAGCAAAAGAAGCTGTCTACAGAGGAGCGTGCTGCTAAGTGGGCGGGCGCCGGCCCGTTGAAGCACGGTGTCGTTCGAGACTCTGCTGATGCATGAATGGGGAATGCGCAACAGCTTGCGCAGACATCGCGCCTGGAACGCGTCCAAACGACAAAGCTCGCGCTTGCTAAGATACGAAGTGTGCAGACAGTACAACAGTTTACTTAAAACGCAACAATCAAAAATCTGAATCTTCTTCTGTTGCGTGAGAGTGGAATGGCTCCATACCCTGGCTAATTTGTCAACTTATGCCCCTGCAGCTCTAGTCGGCGTGACAGTTCTGAACCTATTTTGCCGTCGTCGCTAATCAAACTACCAAAATACACAATGCTTATTTTCTGTGGGATCGGGGTGCCGTCTGGCTGGAGAATGCATACGTCGGTTCCTACAGCCAAGGCTTCTAAGTTGCGCCAGTTAAGCTTCAATGCGCACGCTTCATGGCCCCATAAGGAGCTCCACCGAATGCCTCAGCGCCACCGCCCGCATGCGTCCCCCACACACCATTTTCGGCACACCCCTCCCACGTTCCTTGGCCCCGTAAGGAGCCATTCCGAAGGCCCCAGTGCCACCGCCCGCATGCAGCACCCAGAACGATTTCGGCACACCCCTCACACGTTTCGTGGCCCCATAAGTAGGGGGTTCCACCGTAGGCCCCAATGCCACCGCCCGCATGCACCACCCACTTTGATTTCGGCGCACCCCTCACACGCGTCGTGGCCCCATAGGGAGCTCCACCGAAGGAACCATTGGCGCAGCCCGCATGCGTCACCCACACCCATTTCTGCACACTCCTCACACGCTTCGTGGCTCCATAGGGAGCTCCACCGAAGGCCCCAGTGCCACCGCACGCATGTGCCACCCACACCGACTTCGACACACCCACCACACGATTCGTGGCCCCATAGGGAGCTCCACCGAAGGCCCCAGTGCCACCGCCCGCATGCGTCACCCACACCCATGTCGGCACAGCCCTCACACGCTTCGTGGCTTCATAGGGAGCTCCACCGATGGCCCCAGTGCCACCGCCCGCATTCGTCCGCCACACCCATGTCGGCGCACCCCTTACACGCTCCGTGGCCCCATAGGGAGCTCCACCGAAGGCCTCAGAGCCACCGCCCGCATGCGTCCCCACACACCAATTTCGGCACTCCCCGCACACGCTTCGTGGCCCCATGGAGAACTCCACCGAAAACCCCGTGGCGCTGTCCACATGCGTCCGCCACGCCCATTTCGGCACGCCCCTCACACGGATCGTGGCCCCCATAGGGACCGCTATTCACAATTGCGGTATTCACAACTGCATATGGTTGGGTCTTTCACCAGCTAATTTCCCCTGGGGCGTGAGGCCGCCGCTCGCGCCGGGCCGGCCCGACAGCCCGAACCTGCCCAGGAGCGCTCGGATTCACTATCGGGGTCCTATCGCCGATCTATCGGCGATGCATCGCCGATTCCGGGTCGATGTAGTCCCCCTCTGCTCGTTCCCCCTCATTTGGTCTCGGAGGACGAGGAGGAGGGGGTCACAGGTAAGAGGTGGTAGGGGAGGAGGAGGAGGAGGAGGAGGAGGAGGAGGAGGAGGAGGAGGAGGAGGAGGAGGGGGGGGAGGAGAAGGACGATGGGCTTCTCTTGTAGGTCCTCCCTTGGGTCTTTCCTGGGCGCTCCTCGTGCACCTGAGTGAATCTGCGGCCCCAAAAAAGGGGCCTTCGTTCCCTCTTCCAGGGCCCCACATGGCGAGACCTTGGCCGCAAGAGCCGCCCCTCGCTATCGCTGTCGGACGATGCCAAGGCGTTCCGAACACCCCTGTTTGCCTCTGTCTCCCCATCTGTTTCCCCCCCATTGATGGGCCGATCCTTCACCACTACTACCGTAGACATGAGAGGGAGAAAGAGGAGGAGGAGGAGGAAGAGGAGGAGTACCACCGATCAGAAAGGGGGAGGGCGGCCAAGAGCAAAAACGAACGAGAAGAAACGAGATCGTCTGTCCCCCCAGGCAGGGGCGGTCCTGCGGCGGCACCGTGTCCGTCACGGGCTGCTCGGCCGTCCAGAGGCTGTCGTCTGAACGCCCCGTGCGAATGCTAGTACACACTTGCTGCGTCGAGCTCCTATTCTGAGGCGGGCTTGCATGAGGCTCAGGGTAAACTCGGGGGAAAAACATGCCGAGGGAGAGGCTCTAAATATTTGGTATGTATTATGCAGAAGGTCAATACCAACGAATTGGGACAGGAGAGCTTCTCTAGTCGTATTGCTAAATAGGTGAGGGAGGATGGCACTCAGAGGCTCAGCACCCCAACCTTCAGGTAACCAAGGGAGAACTCGATGGGCACACTCGATAAGGACGGGGCAGTGGGAGTAGTGAAGGAGATCGTCGCCGCCCATCGCGCAGCAGCTGAATCCACAGACCTGGATACTCTGGCGATACCTTCGGGCGGTATCCCACCCGTTGAAAAATAGTCTTCAAACACGCAGTCATAATGAAACTGGGTAGGCATTGGCCCGCGACTTTTAACCTGGTAAACGTCGAAAAAATACCAGCAGCCGAAATCGAAGGGTCCCATTTGTTCAACCGAAGGGCGATCACTTCAGCAGCGGGGGTGAGGTTCATTCTCCAATCCTGGTTAAGCTTCCTGGTGATGGCTGCCTGGACGGACTTCCTCTGGCACGCAATCGGCCTGTGCCCGCGGTAGAAAGCGTCGTACTGATCCCACATTCGCAAGAAAAAACAGCGTCGGGCGCACGGGCTGGCACGGAAGGCGATGCAGGCATCGTCAGACTGCGAAAACACCTCGAGCTCATCCTTGAGCTGGTGGAACTTGGGGGAGTTCGTGGCAGCACGGAGCTGACATGCACGAGCAAAGATAGTGAGTCGCCGAGCTTCTGTTTTGTGCCCTAGGTTCTTGAGCTGGCGTAGCGCTTCTGGAGGAAACGAGAACCTGGGGGCGCACGTCAAACGTTGAAGCACATGTTTCTCCGCAAGCGCAGTCCACCTCGGGGGCTCCCAGATCTGAGCAACGCGACTGGCAACAGGGAGCCCAAACAGATTGCAAGCCGAGACGCTGTAGCTCATCCCACCCCCAATCTGCTTAACCTGGAGGGACCGTATGCTCAAGGCGTGCATCACTTGCCTCCAAGACGCCTCTTGACCGTCGATGTCCAAGAATACGCCCAAGTACTTACCATTCTTGGTAACAGAGAATTGCGAAATATTTAGCCCTAGGGCCCGACATTCCTGGACAACCGTACTCCTGAAGTCGGGGTTGGGGATAATCAAGACGCACTTCTTAAGGTTCAAGACGAGGCCCGCGCACTTCCCTGCCTGAACAAAAACCCTCAATACCTCGGGCAAGCTCTCGAGAATGTTCCTGCACGCTACTCCAACATCATCAGCGAAGGCTCCTGGGACCACTGATAGACCAGAACATGTCAAGCGGACCTGCTTAAGGAAAGGGTTAATACACAGACAGAAACCACAGGTTCAGATCCGCGAGTGCGAATGCTCATCTTCATGTTGGAGTATAGTGCTTTGATCGCTCTCAGTACATGACAGGGAATCCGTAGACCCCTAAATACCGCCCAGATATAATCGTGGAGGACGCTGGGGAACGCATTCTTAATGTCAAATAAAGCCGCACCGAACTTGGGACTGGTGTCCATAATTGCCCATCGCAGGAAAGCTGCATCAATCCCCAAAATATTATCCA